GCTACTTGCGCAAGAAAGCCCTATGGCTAAAATGGCCATCAGAGCTTTCTTGAGCAAGAGAGCGTCCACACTGCCATGCATGCTCTTGCACAAAAGCACATGCCTGTGTGGATGTGTTCCTGCGCAAGAGTTCTTGCACAAGAACCCACCAGTGTAGACATAGCCCTAGTGTGGACACGCTACCTCGATTTAGAGCCCCAGGAAGCACCAGGGAGTAATGATTTTGAATGGCCCTGGGGAGGAGCTATTTCGAAATAGCAGCGGTGGAGCGTCCGCACTACAGCTATTCCGAAATAGCAGTGTCGGAAGAGGCGTTATTCCTTGTGGAATGAGGTTTACAGAAGTCGGAATAAGGCATCTGTAATTTTGAAAAACGTTTGAAAAAACAACAAATAGTCTGGTAGCACTTTAAAGATTAATAAAACACGTATCATGGGCTTTCGTGGGCACTGCCCACTTCTTCAGATGACCGGAGTGCTGGATTGCTGTGTGGACGCTTGCATTGTTATTTGGGAGTAACGGCTGCTATTCCGAAATAACGCTGCTGTGCAGACACACCCAGAGAGACAGAGGCACAGCAAGCTTAGGAAGGGACTGTGGGGAAGGGCCTGAAAAAAGGCCAAGGTAGGATGACATTCATGGAGACAGCAAAACGTAGCTGCTCACTGCAAGGTCCCTGCCTAGACTGGAACCCAAAGGAGAGGAAGGATCTAGGGTCTCTTCTGGCCCATTTGATCAGCTGGTGTGGAAACTCCCTGACACAAGGGGAAGAAGAACCATTGCGTTTAGAGCTAGACCTCCAGGGAGAAAGCCCAGGGAGGCACCCCTGCAGAAGAATAGAAGGACATCCCTGCAGAGCCTGGGAAGGGGTGAAGAGTCCACAGATGAGTGAACCTGGTTAGCAGCAAAGAGTTCTGTTTATCTGAGTCTGGAAAGGCCGAGGCCGAAGATGACTTGACTGGAAGGCTGAGCCTGGTCATGCAAGATCTGGAGCCACTGTTGAGAGGGAGGAGAGTCTGGTATCCCCACATCCAGCCATAAGGGGGCACACCAGCCCTGAGCCAACTCTCCCACCATGGTACACCAACCCACAGACTTTATGGCAAAAAATCATTTGTTTCTTACCGTGCAGTGGAAGGATTTTAGACATCTGGAGGTGTTTTACACCCATGTAAGTGATGTCTGATTCTTGTCTGGAGTCCACATTTGTCCTGAAAATACAGTGACATGCTCACTGGATTTAAAGCATCCTTCCACTGAGTTTAAGAAGAATTTGGTATCCATTAGCATTTAAACCTTGTTTTCAGGTGATGTTAATGAATGCTGGTGTAATATTAAATATCCCAGTCATTGTCTATGCACAATAAATAAATGCTCTGTTAAAGACAAAATGGTATTTCTTATTCTTTAACTGTGTTCTCGGACACTGATTCAAAGTCTTTGCAAGTCAATGGGAATCTTTCTACTGACTTGAGAGGGTTTTGGATCAGCTCTTAGCAGTAATGTCTTACACAAATTAACTGGAAGTCAATGCACATTTTTGCTTCTATGAAGGTTACTTTATCAGACCCATAAAATTATTCTGCATAAACAAACTGTCAGTTTCGATGGGAAGAGTTAATGCTTTCAGTATCCCGACCCATTATGGTGCATTATATATGATCTTCAGACACGTGTGCTATAAGCATAAATTAGGGCCAAATGCTCCCTTGGTTGCATGGCTCTATGGCTCCTAACAGCTTCACTGGGATTTCCATACTGGCATCCAAGTGCAGGACTTGGCCCTTACATCCAAGTTTGTTAACCTGGAAGAACAATTCACCCTGGTTGCTCAGCTGTAATTTCATATCCTATTCCAGTCCGTTGCTTTGAGTTTACTGTGATTCACCTGCTCTGGAAATCAAGGTTGACCTGAGCAGTCACTCAGGATGCGTCTACACTGCACCTGCAGAGTGAAATAAGCGACGCAATTTGAGCTATGCAAATTGCATAGCTTATTTCAAGTCAATTTCAAAATAGCTTATTTTGAAATTTGGCGCTGACTACACAGCACTTATTTCGAAATAACCCGCTATTCCGAAACATCTCTTACTCCCAGTGGAATGAGGTTTGCAGGGACGTCGGAACAGCGAGCTCATTATATTTTGAAATAACAGGCGTGTTTAAAAGACTCGGAATAGCTATGTCGGGATATCCCAAGATAGCACTGCAGTGTGGACGTAGCCTCAGTGACCAAGGGGTCCCCCCTGGAGCTACACAATAGATGGCTGCACCCAGGGCCGGCCCACAACATTTTGGCACCTGAGGCGGGGAGCTCAACTGACTCCCCCTCGCTTGGGCCAAAACTTTGAAAGGTCTCAATTCTGCCTCCTTCCTGTTCTACTCCTCGCCTGGCCCTGCTCTGCTACCTACACATGCACCAGCAGCAGACACAATTTTCTATACTCTGGGTTGTAGTGACCCCCTTCCACAGTTTGGCACCTGGGACGGCCGCCTCAGTTCGCCTCATGGTAGGGCCAACCCGGACTGCACCCCCCTCCCCCAGCTCACAGAACGGCACTGGAGCTGTTCTGTGCTTTTCCCTTGGCGTGAAGGGAAAAGGCTGGTGGATGCCTGCAGAGCTCCATGACACACAAGGTGAGCAGACCCCCATGCAGGGTCCCCATATTCTGTTTCCCCCTTTCTGCAGTAAAACCAGCCACTGGCATTGCATCAGGGCTCTCTGAGGCCCTCCCAAGTTGGGGCAGGGGTCGATCCTTTGGGAGTGACATGGAATATGCAGCAGAAGTCCGTGCTCTCAGGGGTTAAGGTACCTCTGCTCCTCCGACTGCCTTCCTTTTCCTGTCTGTGCTTCCACTGCTGAGGTTCCATCAGAAATCGACCTTAATCCAGGGCCCCGGGTCAGAGACAAAGGAAGTAGGAGTCACATTGAGTATGTCGGAGAAATAGAGAATAGATATGGAGAGCTGCCACAGTAAGCCAACCTATCCGATTTAAGGGTGTGGGCGGTGGGTGAAGGCCCAGCTGGGGAAGGCAAGCCCAGCACCCCCCCTTCTTAGCAACCTTCCCTCTGTGGAGCTAAAATCCACCCAATCCCAGCCCAATCCTTCCTGGCCACTTGGAGGCATGGGGCTGCCATACCGTGACCCCAGCCTCAGCTTTTCCGGGCAGCCAGGGAGCCGGGCTGCTGAGCTGCGACTCCCAGTCTTTCCAGGCCCCTGGGGAACTGGGCTTCCGTGCCATGGTCCCAGCCTTCCCCGGCGACTGGAGAGTGTAAATAGTTTTGGGAAGGCAATGCCTTCCCTCGTCTGCATTACCTGCCACCCACATTTAAGAGCCATGCGTTAACATACTGCAACAAAGGACCAGCACAAAGAGTTGGCTTTTATGCCAACCTCGAGTCCATGCTGTCATGCTGGCCGATTGGGAGGATTTATTTGGTTGCATGTTTATCGGTGGAAAAGCCATTTTCAAAACATAAATACCAGCCTAGCCACACACCTCATATGGCCTGCACCAGCCTTCCTCTTCCCCCGCAGTCTCCTGACTTCCTCCTTGCTCCTCATGCACCTTTTCCATTGTCAGAGAATCACTGTCTAATGCTTCCACTGAGGCTGAGGTAGCATGACCTGCAATGCACAGATAATGGGACTCCGAAGGAAGAATAAAAGGCCCTGTGTTCTATCGCAGCGGCACCATGCTAGCTCTACCCAGGGGAATATAAAATGCCAGATGTTTAGTTCTGCTTTTTTGTTCATTGCAAGCAAGGATATTTGACTGCCCCAAGAACTGTGCCAGCCAAACTGTGTCTTCTATTCACTCATCTGGTGACATGGTTTTACCCATGAAAGCTCATAATTCTCTCTATATTTTTCGTTTGTCTCTAAGGTGCCACAGGACTCCTCGTTGTTTTTAAAGTTAAAAACGACGAGTGACTCTTTGGCACCTAAGGCTGTGTCCAGACTTAGGGGTTTTTTCGGGAAAAGTAGCCTTTTTCCGAAAAAACTTCACCTGCGTCTAGACTGCAGCTGCGTTTTCGAAATTAAATCGAAAGAACGCGGCTTTTCTTTTGACGGCGGTAAACCTCATTTCACGAGGAAGAACGCCTTCTTTCGAAAGTGCTTCTTTCGAAAGAAGGCGTTCTTGAATGTAAATAGGGCTTCTTCGAAAGAGAGCATCCAGACTCACTGGGTGCTTTCTTTCGAAAAAGCGGCTTGCTCTTTCGAAAGTTCTGCGTGCAGTCTAGACGCTCTCTTTCGAAAGAGGCTTGCAGTCTAGACATAGCCTTAGAGAATAACAAACATGTATATAGGATCAAGAGCCTTCGTGGGCAAAACCCACTTCCTCAGATGAGCTGGAGAGGAATAACAGAGACCCAGAATTTATAACAGTTAACCAATGGCAAACCATATGCATTGACCTCCTAGGTTATGAAGCAGAGCTGAGTTGCTGACTAGGAACACCAAAGAGGACAAAACACCAATGCTACGTCTACACTGCCCTCTCTTGCATAAGAAAAAATGCAAATGAGGCGAAGCAGTGAATATTGCAGTGCCTCATTTGCATACTTAATGAGTCATCATTTTTGTGCAAGGGGCTTTTGTGCAAAAAGGACCTATGATGGCTCCTTTTTGCACAGAAAACCCCTCTTGTTCAAGAGCCGTTCTTCCTGGAAAAAAAGGGCAGAACGGCTCCTTTTTGCGCAAAAGTCCCTTGCGCAAAATGGCGGCTCCTTAAATATGCAAATAAGGAGCAGTGATATTCACGGTTTTTCCTCATTTGCATATTGTCTTGCGCAAGAGAGGGCAGTGTAGACATAGCCTAAATGTGAAATCCTGGCCCCATCAAAATCAATGGAAAAACTCCCGTTAACGGAACTTACTTAAAATGTGACTACCCACATGCTCAGAGTTAGGCGTGTCTTAAGTCCCTTGTTGAAATGAAGCTTATATTAGGCCTATGTAATCGGGATAATTGCTATAAAAAACAATGACACAAATGAACTCAACGTCCCCCATTATGGGATTTGGGTGAATTTGATGCAGGGCTGGCGACAGACTTCACAATGTGGGATGGGCTTGGCTTGGCGTCCCCTGGAAGGGGCGGGGCCTCGAGGAAGGAGGCGGGGTTCAGGCAGCCAGCCCTCAGCACCTCCTGGACCGTGCCACACCTCCCCAAGTCAGCCCTCAGCATCACCCAGACCGTGCCACATGTGGCTCTGGCTGCTGCTGCCGTGGTAGCAGCAGTGGCATCTTGGAGCCGTGGGACCTGATTTTATTGCCGGGCCCCAAGGTCACTGCCCTTTCTGCTCCTTCTTCATCGGCAGCCCTGATTTGATGCAGTAAAGATTCTCTATTAGTAACAATGATAGAGATGAGAACGGATGTGCCCATATAAATATTTACAATACAGAGATTCTGCATACTCAGAACTATATAAATGATATAACTGTCTCATATATAAAAAGCCAGTTTTATTTGTTATAAGTTCAACTGGGAGCAAGAAATATGAACTGAAGATAAAACCTGGAAACAAAAATAACTCCAGTATGTCCTGTCAAAGTCTATCTTCAGCTGATCTATATTCTTTTAAGATGCAGACCCTTAAATTACGTTGAAAATATCTCAAAAGAAAGTAAATTGTTAATGACACAATCAGAATAAGTTATGCTTTTATTCTGAGAAAGCAGCATAATCATCTCTCATAATAACCATTAGACAGCTCTCCAACATCTTGCCGAAAGCTGATTTATACATTTGGTAGAGTGAGCAAGACACTTAGGTAATAAATGAGAAGACTGTCTCTCTTTCTGTCTATATTAAAGTTTGATTGAAGTGCCTGAAACAGATTGGACGTAATAGCATTAAATATGATTTACCGGTTCCTTGAAGAATATTTTCTAGTCGAGCAAGGCTCAAGCTACACCAAGAGGAAAGTATCCCCAAAGCTTTCGTCGTAAACTCACTGTCATGGGTATTAATGTCCTCATTGTCTTTAAGGGCTAGAGCTTGGTTTGAACCAAACTTCTTTTCCTCCTGATCGGATTCCTAGAATGCAAATGTTCAAAGGTCAAGATGGTATCGTGAGCGGGGGTGGGGGTAGGGGTACGCTACAGACTTGTATCAGTGTAACGACTTTGCTCAGGCGTGTGAAAAATCCTCCTCGCCCCTGGTGGAGTCGGCGTTTTGTCGACAGGAGGGATTCTCCTGCTGCTCTAGCCACTGCCTCTCGTGGAGGTGGATTAACCACGCCGAGGTCAGAAGCTCTCCCCTCCGAGTAGCAGCTTCACCCAAGCACCACGGCGATGCAGCTGTTGTGCCATCCGGGAAGACAAGCCCCGTCTCTCTGCCATTGGGAGACTGGGCACCAAGCCGGTAAGGCCGCAGCTACATTGTGCAGGAAATCCCACAGCCCCGAGTCTCAGAGCCTGGATCAATGGACGTGGGCTCGTGAGGCTCAGGCGGGAAGGCCCT